AGTAGTAGTAGTAGTAGTATTTGTAGTAGTAGTAGTGGTAGTAGTAGTAGTAGTAGTAGAAGTAGTAGTCGTAGTAGTAGTAGTAGTAGTAGTAGTAGTAGTAGTAGTTTAGTTGTAGTAATAGTACAACATACTACTACTACTAGTAGTAGTATTAGTAGTAGTAGTATTTTAGTTGTGTAGAGTAGTTGTAGCAGCAGCAGTAGTAGTTGTTAGTAGTGTTCGTAGTAGTTAGTAGTATTAGTAGTAGTAGTTAGTAGTAGTAAGTGGTCGTGAGTAGTAGTAGTGGTAGTAGTAGGAAAATGAAGTCGTAGTAGTAGTAGTAGTAGTTGTTGTAGTAGTAGTAGTAGTAGTGGTATTAGTAGTAGTAGTAGTAGTAGTAGTAGTTAGTTAGTAGGTAGTAAGTAGTAGTAAGTCAGTAGTAGTAGTAGTTAGTGTAGTAGTAGTCAGGTAGTTGTAGAAGTAGTAGTAGTTGTAGTCAGTAATAGTAGTAGTAGTAGTAGTAGTAGTAGCCGTAGTAGTAGTTAGTAGTATTAGTGTAGTAGTAGTAGTAGTAGTAGTGGGTAGTGGTTAGTGGTTAGATAGTAGCAGTAGTGGTAGTAGTAGTAGTAGTAGTAGTTGTGTAGTCTAACCGTCGTAGTTGTAGTAGTGGTATAGTAGTTAGTATGTAGTATTTCAGTAGCAGTAGTAGCAGTTAGCAGTAGTAGTAGTAGTTAGTGTAGTAGTAGTAAGTAGTAGTAGAGGTTAGTAGTAGTAGTAGCTAGTAGTAGTAGTAGTAGTAGAAGTAGCAGTAGCAGTAGTAGTAGTAGTAGTAGTAGTAGTAGTAGTAGTAGTAGACGTAGTTGTAGCAGTAGTAGTAGTAGAAGTAGTAGTAGTAGTAGTGGTAGTCGTAGTAGTAATAGTAGTAGTAGTAGTTGTTGTTGTAGTAGTAGTTGTAGTAGTAGTTGTAGTGGCAGTAGTGGTAGTGGTAGTAGTAGTAGTAGTAGTAGTAGTAGTAGTAGTAGTAGTAGTAGTAGTAGACGTAGTTGTAGCAGTAGTAGTAGTAGTAGTGTTCATGATGCTGTTCGTAGTTTTACTGGTAGCAATATCGGTCCTTGTGGTGTTCGGTGTTTGGTATGTTGAGGTCTTGGTGTCTAGTGTTTGGGATTTGGTGTTTGGTATTTGGAATTTGGTGTTTGAGGTTTGGTGTTTGGTGTTTGTTTGGGGTGTTGGGGTGTTGGTGGTTGGTGTTTGGGATTTGGGGTTTGAGTTTTGAGGTTTTGTGTTGGGTGCTTCGTGTTTGGAGTTTGGTGTTTGGTGTTTGGGGTTTGGTGTTTGGTGTTTGGCGTTTTGGGGTTGGGGTTTGCGGTGGCGGCATAGGCGGGGTGGTTGGGTTTGGTGTGATTCGTTGTTGTCCAGGGCTTTGTGCTCGTAGGCGACTCGGAGAAAGAGATACTTTCCCAGAAGAGAGCCTCTTTTCCCGGAGAAGGAGTTTTCCCCTTTTGGTTTCGTCCTTGGGGTCTCATGGCCCGTCTTGGGGCCCTCGTTGGTCTTGAGGCTATCTTGGAGGCCTGCTTCGGCTGTCGAAAGCCCGGACAGGCGAGAACGCTCAAATAATTGAAGCGCATATGAGAAATCAATGATTATGGGCTCTTCGGGCTGCGTCTCGGAAGCATCTCGGGCCGCCTTGAGGCCGTCTTTGCTGTCTTGGGCTAATATTGGTCCGTCTGGGCCGTTTTGAGGCCATAATGTCGATGATGGAGATATTTCGAGCAGACTTGGAGGAACATCGGGGCATCTTTGGCCGTATTGGCTGTCTTAGTGGCCTTCTTTGGGCCATCTGGGAGATTTCTCTGACCGTCTCGGGGCTACCTTGGAGGCCCCTGGGGACACTTTCAGCTGCCGGAGTCCCGAAAAGGCGAGGAATGCGAACACCATTGAAAAACCGACTGACCGAGCATCCATGACTTTGGAACTCTTTGGGCCATCCTGGATGGCCCTTCGGAGGCCTCTTGCCGTCTTACGCGCATCTGGGTCCGTTTTGAGGCCATGTTGGGCCATCTTGGAGGTATGATGAGGCGTTTGGGGGATTGTTTGGGATGTATTTGGGAGCATCTTGGGCCATACTTGGGCTAGGTTGGAAGCCCCTGAGGCCGCCTTCGGCTGTCGGAACCGAACAAGCGAGAACGCGTTCACCATTGAACAAGCGAATGGAAATTCATGAATTTTGGCTTGCCCTCGTGGGCCTTCTCGAGGCCGTCTTCGGCTCATCCTAGGACGTCTGGACTGTATCGAGGCCATCTCGGGGCTACCGCGGAGGTAGCTTGAGCCGTCTTGGAGGCATCCTGGGGGCAGATTGGGCCATGTTGACCGTCTTGGAGGCCCTTTCCTTCGGCCCATCCCGCTTCCGTGTCGCGGTCGTGGACAATAGGCCTTTTGGAGGGCTTTCGGGGGAGTGCTCTCTCTTTTGGGGCCGTCCTTGAGCCTCTTGCGAGCCTCGAGTCGATAATTCGAGTATGCTATAGTCCTACCAACACAATTCGATGTTGATGAATTTGGCTTCTGTGGTCGGCCCCACAGCCTCCAAGGCGGCCCAGGAGGCGCCAAAGTTGGCTCTAGGACGGGCCTTGGAAGTGTAGGCTCACAGCCACGCTCCCGAGGCCTCTGGAAAAGTAGTGCGGGAAGCTCTGTGAACGTGCGGCCGTGCCCGGGATTTCCGTGAATCTGCGCTCTGGGACCCTGAGAGAGGTTTCATTTCTGACGGCATGGATCCCAGGCAGTGGGTTGTTGCCGTCTCGAAGTGCATTCCATGTGGTGCAGAACGGTATAGAACGGTATTGAAGCCGTCAACTCCAATGCTCGAGAAACTATCCCATCTACCTACCCGCAACTTGTTAGCAAAACTCAGCTGCAGCAGTGACGCGATGACCCGTCTCATGCAGAGACAGAGCTGGTGGGCGATGACGACGATGGTATCGACGACGCGGGCCACAACGGCGGCGGCGGTGGCGATGATGATGAGGATGGTGATGACGATGATCATGATCATGATGATGGTGTTGCTGCCGCTATTGATGATGAGATGATGATAATGACGATGATGATGGTGAGGGTGATAATGATGATGCTGATGATGGTGATGGTGATGTTGCTGGTGATACTGGTGATCATGATGACGACGATGATGATGATGCTTATGATGATGATGACGTTGCTGCTGACAATGATGATGACGATGACGATGATGACGATGATCATAATCAGGATGATGATGATGATGATGATGATGATGATGATGATGATGGTGATGGTGATGGTGATGGTGATGCCGATTATGATGATGATGACGACGACGATGACGATGGTGATGGTGATGGTGATGGTGATGATGAATGTGATGGTTATGATGATGATGGTGGCGTTTCTGCTGCTGATGATGATGACGATGACGATGGTGATGGTGATGGTGATGGTGCTGGTGATACTGGTAATGATGATGGTGATGATGATGATGACGTTGCTGCTGTTGTTGATGATGACGATGTTGATGGTTGATGGTGCTGGTGATGCTGGTGATGATGACAACGACGACGATGATGGTGATGATGACGATGATGATGACGATGACGATGATGGTGATGGTTCTGATGATGACGACGATGATGATTGTGATGGTGATGATAATGACGACGACGATGGTGGTAATGGTTCTGATGGTGATGATTGTGACGATGACGATGACGACGATGATGACGGTGCTGACGATCATGATTATTATGATGATTATGATGATGACGATGATGATTATCATGATGATGATGATGGTGATGGTGATGATGAATGTGGTGATGATGATGATGATGATGATGATGATGGTGGCGTTGCTGCTGCTGCTGATTATGGTGACGATGATGATGTTGATGGTGATGTTGCTGGTGATACTGGTAATGATGATGGTGATGATGATGATGATGTTGACGTTGCTGCTGTTGTTGATGATGATGATGACGATGGTGATGGTTGATGGTGCTGGTGATGCTGGTGATAATGATAACGTCGTCAATGAGTGTGGTGATGATGATGATGATGATGATGATGCCGATGACGATGATGGTGTTTCGTCTGATGATGACGACGATGATGATTGTGATGGTGATGAGAATGACGACGATGATGGTGTGGTTCTGATTGTGATGATTGAGACGATGACGATAACGATGATGATGACGGTGCTGATGATGATGATGACTAGTATTATCATTATGATGATTATGATGATGATGGTGATGATGATGATATGATTGTAATATTGATGGTATGGTGATGGTGATGCCGATGGTGATGATGAAGATGGTGATGGTGGATGTGATGGTGATTGTGATGGCGCTGACGACGAGGGCGACGACAGCGACGATGCCGATGACTATCAGAATGATAACGATGATGATGCTGATGATGATGATGGTGAGGATGAGGTGATGATGAGGATCATGAAGATGATGATCATGATGATGAAGATGTAGATGACTATGAATATTAGGATGAAGATGATGTTGATGAGGATGATGATGATGATGGTGGTGGTGGTGATGGTGACGAGGATGACGATGATGATGATGATGATGATGCTGCTGATGATGAATAAGATGATGATGATGCTAACGATGATGACGATGATGATTATGATGATAACACTTATGATGATGCTGATGATGATAATGATGATGCGTATGGTGATAGTTATGAAGGCGAAGGTGGTGATGAGGAGGAGGAGGATGAGGATAAGGGTGATGATTATGATAGTGCTGCTGCTGATGATGATTATGATGATGATACTGCTGATGATGATGGTGATGATGATGATACTGATGATGATGATGATGATGACGATGATGATGATGATTGATGATGATGATGATGATGATGATGATGATGATGATGTTGATGATGAGGATGATGATGATGATGATGATGATGATGATGATGATGATGATGATGACCGAGCACCTGGGGTCTGGGAGGATCGCTGGCGTACAGTTCCCAAGGCGTGGAGAAGCTGCGCGACGGCTTGCAGGCTTGTGGACGCGAGGACGTGCCCCCTGGGAGCACGAGGGAGCGCAAGGGCGAGGAGGGGGAGCGCGAGGGCACGGTGCTGAGCACATGCAACGTCTCTGCGGCCTGGTGTTGGCGTCTCGTCGATGGTGCGCCGCCTCGCCGTGCGGACATGCGCTCACCGCCAGCGGCCCACCAATGTTCCAGGGGCAGCCTGGAAGACGTTCCAGAGCATGGAGGAACCTTGAGGGCGAGGGCCATGGCAAGGAGCAGGCTCTTCCCATGTGCGCACGTCTGTCATGCTGCGCCACACAAACACAAGTGTTGTGCCCTGATCCGCATGGAGGAGGGTGAGGTCGAAGACGACGACGAGGGGGGCGGAGAAGATGAAGGGGGGACTGGCAAGCAGGGATAGTGGTAGTAGTAGTGGTAGTAGTATTAGTATTAGTAGTAGTAGTAGTAGTAGTAGTAGTAGTAGTAGTAGTAGTAGTAGTAGTAGTAGTAGTAGTAGTAGTAGTAGTAGTAGTAGTAGTAGTAGTAGTAGTAGTAGTAGTAGTAGTAGTAGTAGTAGTAGTAGTAATAGTAGTAGTAGTAGTAGTAGTAGTAGTAGTAGTAGTAGTAGTAGTAGTAGTAGTAGT